CGGGAAAGTGAGAAGCTCCGCTTTATATATGTTATATAGGCATGTGTATATGTATATATATATGTATGTTATTAGTCTCAGACTCTGCTCAGTTTGGAGCTCCTTACATCCCCCTCTGGCTGGTAACTTTCCTCTCTCATTTATTTCCGTTACGGGCAGCTTAGTCGCTCGCTGCTGCCCTTCTAGCAGCCGTTTGTCATGTCGCGAGTGTCCTTTGGGTGCTGGAAGCTTCGCGGTGCCTAAAATCTCTTCCACTATAGCACAGCTTCCTCCAGATGGGAGGTTACAGGTGCTCCTGTCTGTGACATCCCTTCCTTGCTGTTTGTTTTGTTTGCTGATAGTTTCTCAAGCAGTAGTATCAAATGTGTCTTTATTCAGGAAAAGAATACCTGAACAAAACTGTGATTCGGATCTTTCTTCTTGTTCCTGTGCAGCTGCATTCATGTTGTTTTGGTCACGTTGAAGTTGATATGTTGATATGCGTTGAATTTGATGCATTTAAAATCTTCTTGGCTAGCACAGAAGCCCCTGCGTTGATGCAGACACGGTGGTGACTGCGGCAGGGCTATCCAACCAGCGTGGAGCGGTGCCACGGCGCCGTTTGCCTGCAATTCGCTTTTTGCAACGGGTGTTTTCCAGGCTATGGCAGCTTGCCTGGCTGTTTGCGTGCAGCAGCCTGCCCTGCCAGCGTCATGTTTTGCTGTTCCCGCTAGGGTCCGCGGCGCGTGTGGTGCTCCTGACGTTTCTGCACAGCCGGGAGATGGGTTATTCCAGTCCATGGGCTGCACTGAGAAGGGGAGCAGCCTGTCCGGCTGGCTGCACCTCTCGCCAGGCCTGACGTCCCGCCGAAGGGCTCGTCCCCCGTGGGCCTGAGCAAGAGCCATTTCCCCAGCGCTGCCGGCGCCGCCCAGGCCATGGCAGACCCGGCTGTCGGGAATCGGGAGGCTTCGCTGTGATACAGTGGTCAAGAGAGGGTGGGGAAAACAGCAGTGCAGAGGCAGAACTGTCGTTTAAGTGTCCTCACTTGGAGCTCCCTACAGTGTCACGCTAGTCTGTACCAGCTGATTCTGAAGGAGAAATTTTGAGCAAAATAACTCGATTGTTTCAAGTTGCAATGCTGTATTCAAGGCTTTGGCTTCTGTCTCTGGTTTGCTCTGTGGGTTCTTCTGAGTAACACGTAGAAGTAGGGTGCTGGGAAAATTAAGTAAAAGCTACTTACACATATTCTCTAATGTGTTATTTGTGTTTTTTTTCCTCTCAGCAGCAAACAAAAGAGAAGTGTTACACTGTAACGTAGATGTCAATGCTCACTGCAGAAGGATGTGGGCGATGAGAAAAATTATCAGAGCTCAGAAAGGCAGCGCAGCAGGAGCCAAGCTGGCGGTGAAAGGGATGCAGTTTAGCTGACTTTGCCCTCCTGCTCCTGGGTTACTGTGTGCAGGCTCTGTCTTTCCTTGTCGGTTTTAAATGTTACATGGGTAGAGTTCAGAGACACCCCCATATGCACAGAAAAATCAAGCTCTGTTGGCCCTAGGGGCTGAGAAAGACACTTTGTACAAAATAAAATGGTGCATTTTTGCTTCTGGTTGCTTGGTGTTTCTGCTTTGCATCCTGCTCAGGGCACAGGACAAGTGGATACAGGGATCTTTTAGACAGCAGAAAAGGCACACTTGGATGTGAGGAAACAACAGCCGAGCAAGAAATGACATGTGATTCTTTGCGAAGTGTTTTGTTCTGGACAGTTTAACACTGTGTAGCCAATTTGCATATCTGCTATGTAGGCAGTTTACACTAGTGCTTGAGAACGAGAACAGTAGATTTCTTTACCTGCTGAGATTCTCCTCTTAATATTTTTCTTGCTTTTTGCTGCCTCAGTGACACACATCTCTGATTTGGGAGTTTCTGTGAATCACAAATGGATGAGGTTAGCCTTTCAAACTCTGTGCTTTACTCAGTAAATTCAAATGAAGATTTAACCTCCAGAGCACAGGTAATATTTTTCTCTAGGAAAGTATCCCTGTGGGTTGCCCTGTTTTAAAATAATGAACAGAGAGGTGTTCAGTTCAACCCTTTAAAAGAGCTGTAATGAACTTATCTCTGGATTTCTTGTATGATTATTTTGAGTAGAGGAAGGCTTTGTAGAAGACTGGGCCAATGTCTCTGACCGTCAGAGCTATTTGTACTGCTATTTTTAAGTTATAGTGGTTTTCACCCTGGATGATGTGGGGATGTAAATAAAGATTCTATAGATTAAATGTCTTCAAAGTAAAAATCTCTTAAAAGGAAGCAAACAAGTAAATCATTTGAACAAATAGTCTCCAAATAATTGAAGTTTTGAATTTTTTGTTTTAGCTGTTGAAGTGGTGCTCTAGAAGTCCTGGCAGTCAGGCTGTGTGAACTGAGTCTGTGCCGTGAACTGTGCTGCAGGTAGAGGCATGCCAGGTGCCTCTAAAAAAGCTACTTCAGATACTGGAAGTATTTGAGCTCAGTAACACTAAATGCAGTAAATTGCATTTGCAAATTTCTGTATTCCAGGCGCTGACCTAGCTGTGAAGTCTAACTTTTGTATTCGTGCACTTCACTGCAGAGGGGATTTATCTTGTGTCCTGTGTGAAAGTCTCTCCAGGCTCTTAGCTGTGTCCTTCTGGCTGTGCTCGTATTTGCACATCCACCCGTTCTGTTTCACAGAGGTTCTGTTCCTTGTATGCTGTTATACAGGGTAATGGGGCTCTTAGATAAAATACATGCTGAAATTTCAAGTCTTACTACAGAAGACGTTTGCTCTGCTCTTCTCCACAGTTATGTCAAGAAGTATCTGCCTTTTTATTTTTTTCTCCTGTACTGTGGTTAATAATACCTCTTCTATATGTTTATTTTAGACTTGTTATTCTCTTCACGGATGATTTGGGTCATGTTTCCCATTGGAGAGCCATCACAGCAGGAAGCCTGGCTGGCATGGTTGCAACCCTAGTGACTCACCCTACTGATGTAATTAAGACACGGCTGATTGTGCAGAACCGACTGGAACCATCTTACAGAGGGATTCTTCATGCTTTCCACAAAATTAAGCATCAAGAAGGATTTTTTGCACTTTATCGTGGTGTTTCCCCAGCTATATTAGGTAAAATCACATTTTTGAGCATCATTGCACATTGTTTGTTGGAATAATGCAGGCATTTGATTTTAAAAGTGAATAGTAATGTTATTCTGTGGAAGGTATCTAGATTTAAAGCATGACAGTACTAACTACCATTGCTGCAACTGGATTCCTTCAGATTATGACTGAGTGCTTAACATTTGTCATGCTTAAAAGTTCAACAAAATACTCTTGGTCATCTTTTATAGATGATCTGTTATAATCAGATGCTGGATTTCCTCCATTTAACTTTTTTTAAGGTTTTTTGTTGTTGTTGTTTAAAAAATACATTTTTTAAAAAAAGGCTTCTAACTCATAGGCACAAGAATGTCTGCCTGATTGTTTAGTGAAAGCAGTGTAAGCAGTAACATACAAGTGATGTGAAAGGTGAAAAATTAACGTTTTTCTGTCTTTACTAGAAATGACTTTTTAATTATTTATTTACTCTAAATAGCTTATTAAGAAAAATGTAGTAATATATATCCCACTGTAAAATTGCTGAGAGCAGGAAACAAGGAAGAGGGGACTGAAATATCTCTCATCAGCTCAACAGCAGATGCGGCTCTATTTGCTTGTACAACTACTAGGAGTGGGTTGGAAAACTGGAGGAGAATTGACCTTTTCTGGAGGAAAACTGAGCTGTCATGAACCTAACACAGTTATAAATACTGACCAAAGATGCAAATTTTAATATGCAAATATAAGAACCTCAAGTAGATGCCAAAATGCAGAGTTTTGATGGTAAACCAATGGCCAAAAAGTGTGCTGGTCTGGCTTGAGTAATATAAGGCATAAATCAGCCCTGGTTCTTGCTGTCTGTTCAGCCTGTGATGAGCACCTATTTTCTTACAGTGCTGTGTGCTGATGTAAACCTTGTGTCTGGTTTGCTTTCTAGGTGCTATCCCATTTTCTGCTGGCTCATTCTTTGTTTACATCAGTCTGGACAGAATCTGGCAAGAACCCATAATTCATTTCACTCCTCTTCAAAACTTTATAAATGGCTGTGTAGCAGCTGCTGTGGCACAGACACTTTCTTTCCCCTTTGAGACTGTAAAGAGGAAGATGCAGGTACAGAGCATCCTTGTTACTAGTACTTTGTTGTATGTGCTTGTTTCAGGGGTATGGGGCCACACTGACTGGATGACCATGACTTCCACTTTTTCTCTTACCAGGGGATTACAGAGCGTGTATATATACTATATATATGCGTGTATATGTACACACACACACACACACACATATATATACTTAACATCTGAAAATTCATTGTAGCTTGTGTGTTATTGTGTTTTTAATATGGATCCAAGTACTATCACGGGATATATATTTGGTATCGCACTCTGTCTTCAGCTTTATTTCTCCTCTTCATAGCAATTCCACCAGATCCTCACAGTTGAGAAGTGGTAAATGTTCTGCTATGTGCAGGCGTCCTGTCCCATTGGTGGTGGGATGGGCGAAAGGGATCCCATCATCTCCAAGGTTTTTGGGTCTGCTGCTTAAGCCTGATCTGCCATACCGACAGCCAGAGGAAACTTGGACAGCAGTTATTAATTCTGCAAGATAAGATCAAAGCTATCCTCAGTCTTATTTCAGACTGCTCTGGTTAATGGGCAATTTTCCAGTTGCTGGCACTGTTGTTTTTATGGAGCATCAGCACTGTCAAAGTTACTGCATTGTTATATATCTCACTGCTTCTTTCTCCTGAAAGAGTAGTATTAATGTTTGAAAATAACAAACACCCCACATCTTCCATCTTATTGATATAATTAATTTCATATTGTTTTATTTTCATTAAAATTTAATCAGCACTGAATAGCTGACTGCTCTCTGGCTTTGGCGTGTTAATTAGTTCTTTCAGTACAGCTGTGATAGGACAGCAGGTTTATGGGGAACTTTCATGATCACCTCCAAAGAGCAGTCATCGTTTGCTGTGACAGTGTTATAGATCTCTCCATCAATGACTGCCTGGTTGATAAGTCTCAAGCTAGAAAAAGGTCAGGGAGGCTCTGAATTCCCCTTTCCTGCTCCTAGAGTTCTCTTTTCCAGACAGAGTTCAGACCCAGTGGTGCAGAAGCATCCATCTGCTGCCCTCTGTTGAGATGGTAACACAGGACCTAAGCTAAGGAGAAGAAATATCTTTTATTGGACCAACTAATGTTGCTGGAAGTAGGAGAGGTCGTGCTTTGGGCTGAGCCCTTTCATCAGGTATCTCATAAACCATCTAAGATGATGAAGAAAATCTGAGCATGTAAATTTGAATCTTTTTGCATCTATATCAATCGGTCTAAGAAAAGCAATTGCCTCTTATTACAAGTCGTTATTTTCTTTGTATCTTTAAGCCCACAGCAACAATATTGCCCTAAAGAATAAAGAAAAGAAATACATTTCCTATGGCACTTCCCTTTTCATTGTTTAATACCATTACATGGGTTTTTGGACTTTTTTTTTTTTTTGTAGTCAGTTCTAAAGTAACTTACAGCAGTAACCAATGTGATGTTGTAAAGCCAGATGTCCAGATTTGTCCAGCTGGTTAAGTGAAGACATGAAAAAGACTTTTTTTTTTTGTCTTCGTGCCACTAGGCTGTGCTGGTGGGATGCTTAAATCGCCAGTGGGATGCTTAAAACATCTGACTCGGCCTTCTAAAATAAGAAAGGAACTGGATTTATTGCCCAAATGTGTAGGAAATAGATCTACAGTTCCAGAAATTATTCTGGAAGGCAAAAAGGCTAAGCAGAGAGGTGCTTTTTTTTTTTCCCCCCATAGGTGCACCGCAACAACTGCATAGTGATTTTCCAAACCTGGAGAGACCCCTCTGTCGAGTAATGTGTCCTGAAGGCATAGGAGAAGGCAAGGAAATTTCAGAATGAATAACTGCATAGGTATAAAACAAAAAAACAACAACAACTTAATTCTTAATTTGGTATTGGAAATGAGATAATTCTCAGAGATTTATGTACAAAGGAAACCTCTTGAAGATCCCACACAAACTGACACTGAGGGCTTGCTGGAACTCACATAAGGCAGTCCCAAAAGTTGTGTTTTTTCCCAGTTATTATCCGGGTATGGCCCAGCTTTGCAGGGATCAGCCCTGCGCAGCACTCACGTGCTGGCCTGTTTGGCCTCCTGTTGACAGCGCTGCGGTTTGCCCGGGAGCAGGGTCTGCAGAGGTGGTGGTTGAGGATGCTCTGCGGGCAGGATGGGGTGTTTCGTTCACAGGGCGGCAGTCGGAAGAGAGAAGGGATGGCACCAGAATGGGTATCGTGCAAAGGGAGCTAGAAAGAAAGAGAGTAAAGGAGGAGCAAACAGCTTTAAGACATCTGAGTCTCCTGTAGAAAACAGAAGCAGATATCATTGATCACAGTTGGGAGATTGGTTTGGTTTGTGCCTTTTTCTTTTTTTTTTTTTTTTTTTCCTTAGATATCTTGATCTGATCCCATCTAGTGATTCAGTTTGCTAGGTAATAAAAAGAGGGGCCTGCTGAAGCCTGTAACCCAGTGTGAGTGCACTGTGGTGTGGGGAAATGATGGCTTTTATTGAAGATCTGGACAGGAGTTTGGTAAGTGAAGAGGAACCCAGAATGTTTTGGAGGTCAGTATAAATCCTCCTCCTTCTCTTTCTTCCATCCCACTGATATCTCAAATGGAGATAATACATGCCATAAAAATTTTTTCTTGTGAACCTATTGGTAAGGGTGAGCTAGGGAGTTCTTAGGCAATCCCAGGAGCTTAAAAACAGGGAAACTCAGCCACAGAGCAGTCTTCTCTGATCACAGAATTGAGTACAGATCCGAGATCAGAACGCCAGGTCCAGATCTTTGCTGGACACGTTGGGCAGCCTTGGACAAGGTAGCTGCATCCATCTCCTCATGTAGACAATACTTGAACATATGCTTACTTGACAATATGTTTATATGGACTACAAAATAAATTGTGTAATGAAAAGAGGAGGAAGGTGCTATTTCGAACCTCTCATAATCGCATTGTGCCACCCCTTCTCATTTTACGTAGCTGAATCTTACCCTTCTGATTGAGCAGCTTCTGTCGTTAGCGTCTGTGAGGGTAGGAGTTAGCTGGCAGTGAACAATTCTTCCTCTGTATTTTGGTGATGAAATGTGATGTCACATTTATTCTGTAACCATGACTACTTCTCCCTCTGATACGAGTACAATCTCTATCATATTTTTTTTTAACAAAAAAATGCCATGTTGCTAAACATAGTTGAATGGGTTTCTTAAAAAATGTTAATATGAATGAATCTTAACACATATGTGAGTCCTCTTTGTTGTGATTATCCTAATCTTATTCCTTTGTCTTCCTTTTTTTTCACTTTGCTCCTGATTGGCATGTTAGAGAATGGAGAGGTACTGTATGCATGTTTTTGGCATGGACATATGGCTTTTGTTGTGCATCTGTAGAAGGGGATTAGTGAAGGAGAGGGTTGTTCAAAGGGATATTCTTTATTAAATACTTTCCTGACTCATTTTCATGCTGTATCAACTTCAGAAGAAAAACTTACTGATTATGATATCCTTCTAGCTGCTAGTTATTCTTGGCTTCCCTTCCTCACTCACAATATTATGCTCTTTGCTCAGCCCAATGTCCAAGCAGTATTCAGGGAGTACTCTTGTGTCTCGCAGACTCATGCCTACAAGAGCACTCTCTTTTCACCGTTAGCAGGGAAGCATCTGACTATAAAGATGTCTGGACGTAAGGGAAACACTGCTGATGTCCTTTTGCTTCCCCGCTTCGTCTTTTTGCCTATGGTGAGCCTCATAGGTCTTCCCCAGCATTTCAGCAAAAGAAGATAAATTTGAGGCTGCTGTGCACCATGGACAAGATTAAAGTCAGCTTGATACTGAGCCGAGACTGTGCGCAGAACTGGAAAGCTGTAAACATGCACATGGTCAGAGCAAACTCCACAGCCAAATTTGGCATTTCCTTGTTTACGTGTAACCCTCAGTCATGCTCAGATACTCCAGACCTGGGAACTTATTGGCCTTGGTTCCAAAGTGACATGTGGCTTTGTCAGTTTTTAAAGGCAAAATATACAAAAATGATCCTAAAATTTAACAGATGCTTTGTTTTCTGTATGGCTAGTCCTCACTTCCTTACACGAACAAACTGTGTTTGTGGAAGCTAACTACTGTGCTCATATTTTGCTGGGATTAATCAGTGCAACTAAAACTAGCCGAAACAGTTCTTTGCCAATAAATACTTTTAATCTAGAATAAGCCTATTTTTGCTTACATTGTATCTGTGGTGCTGCCTGCACAGCACCCTTATGTCATGAAGATGTTTCTCAGGGGAAATGTTCATTAGTGCCTGATCCTTCTGCTTTATAATTCAGGCTGTGTGTTCCCCCCTCCGTTGTGAACAAACAGGCTCTCTGTGCTTTGTTTGCACAGACTGTTGTCCTGCATCACCCAAGAAGGGCATTTTTGAGCAGCAGACTAAATTAGGCTGAGGCTGCCCATCAATCTGCAGAATGGGCTGTGGGTGGGTTTTTTTTGGCTTTGTTTTGTTTTTTATTGTGTGTCTGCTTGGTGCTTTGGCACACAAGATGCTCTGCAAGTGTGGAAATTGTTGTAAATAGTGTAAATGTTATGTGTTCTAGGTAACCTTGAGAAAACTGAGCAGTCATTCCCTCTGGGAAAGAGCCTTTCTAAGGAAAAGGCATTCTTGTCCTCCGCTGACACATTTCTGGTCTGAAGTCAGTTAAAGGCGATACTTAAGTCTCTGCTTAAAAGCAGTCTCCTAGCTATGTTTTTTTGCATGTTAAAAGTCAGCCAAGCAAGAACGCAGTGGCTGGGTTATAAGCAAAGCTTTGGGAAAGAAAATTGTGTTCATTCTCGCTCCTGAGATGAGGAGACTGCTCCAATGTTGTTCCAACATCAGCAGCCCGCAGAGAGCCGCATTCCTGGAGACGAGGCTGGTGCTGGCGGGGAGGCCTCTGCGAGCTCCCGTGCCGGTCCCTGCTGCTTGTGAGATTTGTGCTCTTGTCAGCTGGGAATATCTAAGTTTTTAGAGTCATGACCCCATTTAAAAATAAGAAATCTTTTTTGGGTCGT